TATCTACTTTAATAAACGCTCTTATAAAGAAAATACTTTACTTCTTTTATATCTATAATAATAGTATCTAACTACTCTACTAAAGTACTTTAAAAAGTATTTCTCTATATCTAAGTTATTTTTCTTACTAGATATATATACTATTTAGTTATTAGATAACTTTTAGTATAAGAATATTATATTAGATAAGCTTTTTAATATTAAGTCTATAGATAAAGTAGTTTTATACTTCTATACGTAGTATCTAATATAGTTAATAAAGATAATATAACTTAGCTCTATTAAGTTTATATAAATTATAGATTCTAAAAGTATTAAAAGCTAGTTTATAGTATAAGAACTAACTAAAAAGCTTTATAAGTATAGAAATAGAATAATATATTATTTACTTTATTTCTACTAGTATAGTATATATTACGTAAAGTTTTTTATTTCTTTTAGAAAAAATAGAACTTTATAAGTTATTATTACTTTAGTAAATTTAACTTCTTAGAAGTAGAGTTATAAGAGTTATATAAATAGTAAAGAGAAAACTTTTACTTTAATAAATAATATAGCTTTTATAGTAAACCTTTTCTTATAAACTATAATAGTAGTAGTATTAACTTAGCTTAACTTTTAAATTAAGTTTTAGTATTTTTTATAATACTTTTAGATTTAGCTATTATTATAAGTAGCTATTAATTAATATAACTTTAGTGTATATATATATTTTAGTTTTATATATATAAAGTATATTATACTACTATAAGTATTAGTTCTAACTAATAACTATTAAAAGGTCTAAAAGTAGCTTTATTTAGTTTTAAGTTACTAAGATATACTATTATAAGTCTTAGACTTACGCTAGTAAAATAGTATATATACTTTATTTTATATATATCTTATAATACTTTAATAATTAGCTATATTAGTAATATATTTACTAAGTAGCTATTTAGCGTAATTTAAGACTATAAGCTAGAATAAGTAGTTATTAAAATTGCGCTAAGAGAATTATATATTTATTATCTCTTCTAATTATTAGCTCTTACTACTCTAAATAGTAATCTATACTATATATTCTATTTAAAGAAGCTAGTAAAGAGTTATAGAATATACTTAATTCTAGATTAATACTTAGTAGATATAAGAAAAAAAAAATAGCTTATATATATAAAGATAATATAAATCTAGTAGTAGAATAATAGTACTACTAAGAATAATATACTTCTACACTACTACTTAATCTTTATAAGTTTATAAAATATATTATTCTTAGTATAGAGTAAAGAGAGCTATAAATATAAAGTATTATTTCTAATATCTAAGTATCTATAGAAAAGTAGAATTTACGCTAATATTAGTCTTACTAGTTTATATTATAATATAGATAAGATATAGTTTAATAGATAGACTAAAAAAGAAAAATATATTAGACTTAAAGTAAAATCTATATATCTTACGCTATATAATATAAAAAGCTATAGCTCTAGAAGCTATAATAGAGTTATAGAGTATTCTAGTATTATATATAATATTATTTTATATATAATATTATTTTATATATAATATTACTTTTTATATAATAATACTTTATATATAATATTACTTTATATATAATATTACTTTATAGATAATAGAGTTAACTCTAATAGAAGATATACTATATACTTATACTTATTATAGATATTAGTTATAATATTACTACTTTATAAAGTATTATTAGTATTAAAAATAATAGATAGCTTACTAAATATAGTAATAAGCTAGATTATATATAGTTAGTAAAGTATATAAATATAGTAAAGAAAGAAAAAAAAATAGAAATATATATAGTAATAAAAAAGATAATAAAGTAGCTATTATTAAGTAGCTTAAGATAGATAAAGTAGCTACTAGAGTTATTATACTACTAGACTCTAATATAGCTATAAAATATAATATCTATAAAGAAGTTAGTATATATAGCTTAGAGTAGAAAAGATTTTATAAATAGTATATAGCTAATAAGTAGCTTTATAAAGAAGAGTAAGAAAGTATTAGTATAGAGATTTAAACTCTTACTTCTTAATAGTACTTAGTAATACTAAGTAAAGATACTAGATAGTTAGAGTATCTTTTCTAAGTAAAATAATCTATAATTAATAACTATATATACTATAATAATAATAGCTTCTATATATAGATATACTAAAAAAAAAAAATTTTTACTAAAACTATAGCTATAGATAAAAGTAAGTATTATTCTATATAAGTAGGTTTTATAAACTTATAAGTACTATATAGTATAATACTTTTTATAATATAAGTAAGTTTAGTAGATCTATAAAGTTAATAATAATATATAAATCTAGTAGTAAGTACTTTTTAGTTTTCTAGACTTAGAACTACTTTTAGAGTTAGAGTTATTCTTAGTATCTAATAATAACTTTATAAACGCTACTTTATTTTTATTTATAATAATATTAAAGTTAATCTTTAATATTAGATCTTCTACGTCTTATATCTAGCGTTCTAAGTAGTATATTACTATTATAAAGTTAAGTCTATTAACTTTTATAGTATCTAGAAGAACCTACTATCTTACTTTTATAACTAGATAGACTTTTTATTCTATTAGTACTTATATAGCTTTACTATTAATATTATAGATTTTCTATCTATAGCTAAAGCCTATAAGTATAAAAGTAGCTACTCTAATATTAGACTTAAGTTTAGAAAAGCTATATAGAGTTTAGATTATCTTAAAAATCTATAGCGTAGAGGTATTAACACTAGTTTATTATAGTATTATAGATATAGAGTTTTTAGACTTTATAGAAGTAAGTAGAGCTACTAGAGTATAGTAGTTAAATATAAAAAATATTTTTAAAGCTTTTAAGTTAGTAAAAGTAATAGTAATAACTAATAGTAGTACTTACTTAGTATTCTAGGTAATATAGTATAAGAGAGAAAGAAGAGAAGAATTAGAGCTAGATTTTATATACGCCTAAAGTCTTTACTATTTACTACTATAACTATACTTTATAACTTTAGTTATTTCTTTATATCTAAAAGAGCTTATAGAGTTTTATAGTACTATTATAGAGGTACCTTCTAATAATTTAAGAATTTTTTTATTTATAGCTCTATCTAAGCTAAAAAATCTAAAACTATTACTAAGTATTTATTACTATAGATAGGTAGAAAGTTTATTTTCTTATAAATTTACTTATTTAGAAGTACTCTATATACTTTATTACTCTAGTGTACCTACTTAATTAATTAATTATAGACTTTTAAATCTAAATAAACTCTATTTAGATTTCTAACTATAGTAAGAAACTTAGTAGAAAGCTAATAAAGAAGTTAGATTTAGTACTTTAAAAAAAGTTTAGAAAAAAACTAAATTATAAATAAAAATAAAATATAATAAAAATAAAAATAAAAAGCTTAGATATATTTAGTCTACTACTAAATTCTAATAATCTAGATATCTTTATTAAAAAGAGGTTAATATAAATCTATATATAATAATAGTTAGAAATAGTTATAGTATATAATAAAGATACTTAGATAATAGTACTTTAAATAAAGCTATTACTACTTATCTATATATAAGAAAAGCTTTTACTAAATAACTTTAGATTTCTAAAGTAGTTAAATAAAATAAACTTAATAATAAAGCTATTAGTACTTTTAATAAAGTAAGTATATATTTATAATATATAGTATTCTAAACTTTTCTAATAGCTAAATAAAAAGTATAGTTACTAAAGTTAGTAACTTAGAAAAAAGTTAAAGTAAAAAATAAAAAAGTAAAGAACTAAATATATAATAAAAGATAAAAAAGTAGTATTAGTAGAAAAGTAATATATAAAATATAGTAGTACTAAAAAAGAAAAAAAGAAATAAGTAAAAGTAATAGTTACTTTATAATAGTATATTTACTATCTATTTATATAAAGACTATTTTATCTAAAATTAGATACTAAGATTAGTATAGTTTTTAAGTAGCTTTACTTAGTTTTTAAGCTTTAAATAAATTCTTAGTTTTTTATATTCTCTAATTAAGCCTTTTAGTTCTTAGATTAAAATACTTAGTTTTTAAACTCTTACTTCTAGTTCTTATACTAGTATACTTAGTTCTTAAACTAGTAGACTTAGTTTTTAAATTAATATACTTAGTAATTAAACTAGTATACTTAGTTCTTAAACTAGTATACTTAGTTTTTAAACTAGTATACTTAGTTCTTAAACTAGTATACTTAGTTTTTAAACTAGTATACTTAGTTCTTAAACTAATATACTCTATTCTTAGATTAATATACTTAGTTCTTAGATTACTATACTTAGTTTTTAAACTAAATTTATTACGCATAAGCTATTCTATACTTAGTTTCTACTAGGTATTATATATTCTAATATAGTTAGCTAATTATAGAAGGTTTTGTTAGACTAATTAATAGGTACGCTTTAAGAAAATTAAAGGTACAAATTAGGCTAAAATGCTTCCTTTGGAAGCAATAAGCGCTGCGTTTGCGCTCGTTAACTTAACTAGCAACGCGACTCTTGTCCTGTCGGGCAGCAGTGACACTAACGCGACAGCTAGCGACTGATCCGGCGACAGGCCGACCCTACGCGTGTTGGACAACTTACTCTCCCCTATTAACATCGGCTTGACGAGCAGCGAGCGCGCCTCTTGGAACAACTGGCCATCGTCGCCCTGATGACCGACGGCGATACCGCTCGCAGAACGTCGCGTTGCGCAACATTACATCGTTCGGCGACTCTTGATTCAGGCAGACTACCTCAGACGTACTGTGCTGGGGGACTGACTACTGTGACATTGGCTGCTCACGCGCGCTGGTCATCAAGCAAAGGTACATGCTAAGCTTGAAATTTTGAAGCGATTCAGCTGTGGGCGGCAATGCGTATACGTTGGGCGAAGACTTTGTAAGAAGAGCAATCATTGATGTCGTCTTCTGTAATTGTTTGCGCCGGGCTCGTACGACGGGTAATGAATCTCTGGACTGACTTCACCACCCCGATATCTCCCCAGTATACACAACCAACTTGCCGCCGTGCTCCTTCTTCGTAGCCTTTGCAAACACGCGCATCATGCCTTCACAGGAATCCTTCACCGACACCGGCGCCTTCTCGCCTATACCCAGAGCCTGGGACGCGCCATTGCCCATATCCGTCGCAACATGACCCGGGTCGAACGCGAAGCAGTTGAGCCAATCCTCTTCGGCGTTGATGCGAATCGTGTACCAGTTGAGCGCGGTCTTGGTCGGCGCATACGCCGCGTTGGGAATGGGCAGGTGGTTGCTGCAGTCACAGTCAAAAGGGTGCGCAAGACAGATGTCAAGTTTACTTACACCAACAACCCCGCCGACGAGCCCATAGGCAGAAAGATTGGCTCGCGCGTCGACTTCTTCAGGAGTTGGCGCATCGCTTGGTATAGCGCTATCACGCCGTACACGTTCGGCTCCATGTGCGCCCTGATGTCCGCAATCTTGACCTCTGCGACACTGGGCAAGATGTAGCTGATGCCGGCGTTCGCAATCACAATGTCGAGGTGATGGATTTGGTGCCTCTGCTGCAGCTCGGCGACGGCATCATGCGCGTCCTGCTCGATGCTTGCGTCGAGCTTCACAACAATGAGCTGGCTGTCGGAACCCTTGGGCAGGTCTTGTAGCGCATGCGCGGTCGGGTGCTCCGGGTTGCGCACTGCGGCAATGACGGTGTGCGAGGGCTTTGCCAGAAAGCGCTCGGCAAGGCCAAGACCGATGCCTCGGTTGGCGCCTGTGATGAGGACCATGGTGGAAGACATGTTGGTGGGACGAGGTTGCAGTTCTCGTTCTCCCGTGTTGCTGGTGAGTTATGATTGAAATGAATTCGGTCTCAGAGAATAAGAAGTAGGTTCCTGGCTCTACGTTGGGATATCCATCTCTTTCTCGGCGGGTGGGGAGATACTTGTAGCTTTGGGACCTTGGGCCAGATAGGCTATACGAACATCACAAACGTGCGAAAAGGATAAGGCGCCCAACGCGAAGATGACATATCGGCGTACGAACGGTTGTAAGCCATGTACGAGCTTCGTACCTGCATGTGTAGGATTCATCGCTAACAGCCTTCCGATAGTTGTCGCATTTCTAAGCACGGCGCTATCCGCCAAGGTTGCGTAGCGAAGTCGAGCCGCAGATGCATGGACGCAAGGCTGTCACATCGTTCGATGATGGTACCGGAAGCGTCGCGCTTGGGGCACGCGCTCGATGTCAGGAACGTGGGTGTTGTCCTGCAGCACGATCTGATGTCGCGTGGGTGGGAGTCGCAACGCTAAGGACGCGTCGGCGCGACTCGAACTTCCACGCGGGATGGTAAGGCTGACGTCACCACCAACCCACCTCAAAACACCACAGGCGCCATCGTCACAATGTCATGTTTCTATCCAAGATCGCTCGCCCCCTTACGACAAAATCCACCATGAAGCTCGATCCGGCAGTCATCAGGCTCCTCGGCCTGAACCTCGACAAGACGCACGTTTCTTCCGCAGGCGGAGGCGGCTCGAGCTCGGCATCGACGTTGAAGATCACGTCACAACTCGAGGATGGCACAGATCAGACATTTTTCATGAAGACTGGGAGCGGGGAAGAGGCCGAGGTCATGTTCCAAGGTAAGCGCAACTTCTAGCACCTCCGGGCTGGCTAATCAACTGACAGCGCGCTGAAGGCGAGTGCGCATCCCTCCAAGCCATCCACGACGCCGTCCCATCTCTATGTCCTCAACCCCTCGGTCACGGACGTTTCGAATCGCAGCCATCTGTATCCTTCCTCGTGACTGAGTTCCTTCACCTCACGGGACGATCGAGTTCAAAGTCGAAAGCGCCATCGCTGGCAGCTAAGCTCGCAAAGCTACATACCACGCCCGCGCCCATACCAGAAGGCTGTGATAAGCCTGTGTTTGGGTTTCCAGTGACAACATGCTGCGGCGACACACCACAAGATAACAGCTATAAGGGAAGCTGGGCAGACTTTTATGCGGAAAACCGTCTCAGATCTATACTACGATGCGCGGAGCAGAACGGGAGAAGGGACGGCGACGTGAAGAAGCTGGTTGAGCAGACTGCGACCGTGGTAGTACCCCGCTTGATTGGTGATGACCATCTCAATAACGGCAAGGGAGTCACACCCGTTGTTGTGCATGGCGACTTATGGAGCGGCAATGCAAGCGCAGGCGTCATTGGTAATAAGAAGGGCGAGGTCGAAGACGTGGTCTACGACTCGTCGGCATGCTACGCGCACAACGAGTTTGAATTAGGCGCCATGAAGATGTTTGGTGGCTTCGGTGGAAGTTTTCTGGAAGAGTACCATCAGCTGTGTCCAAAGACGGAGCCCGTGGAGGAATACGAAGACAGAGTGAAGCTATATGAGCTCTACCATCATCTCAACCACTATGCAATGTTCGGGGGAAGTTATCGGAGCGGCGCGGTCAGTATCATGCGAGATCTTGTCACGAAGTATGGTGGTTAAGGATAAGTCAAAGAATTGATAGAGTGACAACGAGTGGTCAAGTATCTACATTTGGATGTACACCAGCTTTCTGTCGCTCTAACCTCAACAATCGCGTATGTCTCGTCTTGTAGCTCACACGGACCAGCAATGCGAGTTTACAAGACAACCTCGATCCGCCTAAGCAAGCCCAGCGGCCTGGATCGCGAAGGAAGCCGCTGCATCTGCACTGCTGCCGTAGCTGAGATGGCTTCCAGTAGCACCGCCATCACCGCCACCACCGCAGATCTGATCAGCAGTACCGCAGAACTGCTTGATCTTGTCGGCTGAAAGACCGCTGATAGCCTGGCGCTTCAATGGGTCTCCGAACATGACAGCGCCGCTAACATCAGTAGCAGACATGCCCTTGCTGAAAGCATTGTGAACGACCATGGCACCTTGAGAGTAGCCCGACACAATGACCTTGGTGTCGGGGCATTGAGACTTGGCCTGCTTGACCAGATCGGCCATCTTCTGACCACCGTCGCCACCGAGGTTGGCGTTACCAGCAGCAGAGGCAGCGTAGTCAACACCCTGAACGGTAACACGGTCGTTACCCAGCTTCTGGCGGATAGCCTTGAACATGGGTGGTCCGGACACGGATCCGACGTTGCCCATCTCTCCGGTACCACGTGCGAAGACGATGGTCATATCGGTGCAGCAGTTCTTGTCCACGATACCGTTTTCGCTTCCTCCGAAGGCGTTGGACGATCCAGATTGGGGCTTGCAATCTGTGCCAATCGTGCCGGCGCCGCCAGTGTTGCCTCCGCCCGTTGCGGCGGGTGCTCCAGCGGCACCAGTCTTCGAAGGTGCGGGAACAGCGGCGTCAGCTGTTGTCGTAGCACCGCCAGCACCGCCTCCGAGGCCTCCAAGACCTCCAAGACCTGAAAGGCCCCCAAGACCTCCACTGGAACCTCCACCTAGGCCGCTGAGCCAGCTGCTCAATCCCGAGCCACCTGTACCGGTGCTGCCTCCATCTAGGCTGGGAAGGCTGGTCGGAAGTGAGAAACCTCCACCTCCGAGGGAGGGGATGCCGGTTGGCAAGCTGAATCCTGATCCTCCTCCAAGGCCTCCAAGGCCGCCAAGTCCCGAGCCTCCACCAAGTCCACCAAGTCCTGAGCCTCCACCTCCGAGAGAGGGGATGTTGGTTGGGAGGCTAATTCCTGATCCTCCACCAAGGCCACCCAGTCCCGAGCCTCCACCAAGTCCACCAAGGCCACCAAGACCAGAGCCTGATCCACCAGTCGGTAGCGAGAAGGATGGTAGGGAAGGAAGCTGGGGATGCGGGAAAGCAGTTGCAATGCTAGCAAGAGCGAAAGCTTGAGCGGCGTAGAACTTCATCTTGCGATATCGTTCGATGAGTCGTCTGTATCTGTATGGTCCGCGTCGGTTGAAGAAAAGAATGTAAGTGCACAGCACAACGAAGAACATAAGCGGCGCGGAAAGCGAATGTAGTAAAGATGGAAGCGAAAGTGCGGATCGAAGTCGATGCCCATCAAACTTCTGTTGGAGACCACCATCTTATACAAAACCTCCACGGCTGCCTTCCTCGGAGGACCATCGCAGCGAGTTGCGCCTGTGGAATTTCGAAACATTGCTTCTGCGGCGGAATGTGATGAAAGGAATGCCATGGCGTTGTCCATCAACGCGACCTCGGGACGTTATTGTGGAGTCGTGGCCCCGTTTCGCGGGAAGAGGCTGATGTGTACAGGGAAGCGTGCTCATGGTTTCCATCACCATGCCATGTCTGATTACTGAATCGGTCGGGTGATCTCTGCGTGTTTCGTGTTTTGCTGGCATGCGATTGGGAGGAGGAAAGCCATTGTTTCTGCGATTCAAGGATGGATGTGGGTGCATGACTCTAGTGACCGTTTCGATCATCGAGCAGGATTCTCGTTGCGTTGGCGGCGGATGGGATGCTAGGATGCGGGCTGTAGCAACCGCGACATGTGGTACATGTCATGGGTTTTGGATGTTGTGCGCAATATCCCCGGGGCCTCTTCGACATCTCGCATCGCGTCCAGACACGCGACGGTACTTCGCCCACACCTTGGAAGCCGAATGTACAATCTGAGCTAGACACAGCCTTTCGGGGTGGTTCACGCAAAAGATTCCGCTTTCAAACACGTGTGCAAACTCTACGTCGCTGTTTCCCAGCAAGCCTTGTCGGTTCGGCTGGCTTGCTGCTATTCAATGCCTTGCATGTTCTGGAACTCGCCGGCGATCGAAATGTACAAGATGGCATCATCCGCTAAAAAATCCAAGCATCCTTCATTTACCAGCCAAGGTCTTCTCAACGGTGCGAACGCCAGGTAATTAATCAGAATCCCGTAGGGCTGTCCCATCCATGTCGACGATGCGACGTGCGACCCGGGCCTCGGCAGCCACCATGTGGGCCGTTTCACGATGATGCTGGTGCAACATCAGTCATGAATCGTGGGTTTACTAACCAGTACCTCTGTCGACCCAATAAGATAGCCGTTTCTTACCTCACATCCGAGGCTGGCTTATATGCCTCTTGACGTCCTGTACACTTTCTCTTTTGATACGCTATTGCAGTATCACGACGACCTCGGGACTTCGCCCGCTGTAACATTAGATGGCGAAGGCTAAGTAAAGAGAACGATGACGTTGAAACATGTTTGCTTCTATCGCTTGCGCCTTCAAGTCAAATTGCCATTCCATCCTTCCTTCTTCACACACTAAACTCCAACCTATTCCCCGCAAAGTCCCTCGCAAAAAACCTCGTCGGATACTCCACGCCCTCCGCCCCACTATTCTTCACCCCAGGTCTATCTGCTTCCAACGGCGCCGCCTCTCCACCCCGCTCATGATGTTCCCAAACCTTCGCTCTCAGCTCATTCAGCGCTTCTACACTACCAACCCGGAAACATGGATGCCGTGATGAAGCGTGCGCAAAGTCTTCTGGCTTCCCGATAGCGACGTGCACTTGTTGACCGGAGTCGCCGATGTCGAACCACGCGAGCGTGGAGCGTTGTAAGTGTGGTACTGCGCGTGGTGTTAGGCCGAGGGTTGTTGCGTAGAAGTCGTTGGCTAGGTGGAGTGTGTTTGGCGGGACTACGAGGTTGATGTGGTGGATGCCGGTTATCATGATGGGTTGGGATTGGATGTGCGTTGACTTTGTGTTTGGTAGCGGAGTTGTTGATGGGGTGGTATGCTGCGACTTGGCGCTGCGAGATGGGGTGAATGCTAGCTGCGGGGTGGAGGTGGTGCAGGCAAGCTTGGAGGCGAGGCGCGGATCGTCCGAGCTAGTGGGCCGTTGGAGATGGCATGTCGGATATCTTGAGCATCGCCTCTTCACACGCAGTCTCATTGTATACATTACACTTGCACACACACGTCTTTACGATCAGTCCCTGTTCCGCGCAGAGTGTGAGAGAGGCAAGGATGAATGAGATTCGACTTTCGCTTCAACGCTACAAGAATGCCGCCATTGGGAATCATACCTATAGATGAAGCGCTGCATGATGTCGAACATGCCGTCTCAGACCAACGCCATTACCGCGACCAACGCAGCAACACTCGTAACAGCGTGTAGACTTACACCCACCACCCCCACCCCACCCTTCGCATTCAACTTAACAACCGCCCCCGGAAAACTACACGTCAACCGATCAGGATTCTCATCTCTAACCCCATACATGCCCATCCTCTGCACGCCATTCGGGCACGCAAACCCCATCTGCGCAGGGCAAGTCCTCACAATATCGAAGCACATATCCTCACACGGCTTGAGCTCTTTATACGGGCCCGGACTAATCTCCGTATCGATTTTCGGGTTTCTCGACTGGCTAAACGCAGCGCTGTCGTTGAAACCGGGTATCATGTCGGGAACAGAGCCGTTGGCAAAAGGCGTCTTAATATTCCGCGGCACGAGAGAAGGGTCTGTAGCAGTCCAGTCTTCGCAGCGGGGCATGAGGACCATGCAGAGCCAGTTTTTGTATGTTTTGGCGCAGTCTTCGCATGTTACGGCTAGGGAGTATTGGGCTTCGGAGACTGTGTCGCACGCAACTTGCGCGAGGGAGCGGGTGAAGTTGGTGTAGTAGTCGCGGGCTTGGGTTTCGTAGATCTCGGCGAGGGCGGAGTCGTTGAGCTTGAATTTGGTGTTGGAGGGGACGGCGTAGGCGACCATGTCGCAGAATTCGAGGTCGAAGAGGACTTGGCAGGAGTCGTCTTTGCATGTTGTTAGCATGATTCTGGAGAAAGTAGTGTGGAATGCTCACCAGCTTTGGTCGTCCAGTTGAAAGCCTGAAAGACCCTGCCTCCACCTCTCGTCGTGCCCGTGCCAGGAATCGTGAGTGGCTGTTGACTCCCCTCAATGACCACGAATCCGTTGTATGTCTTCGCACTCTGCAGGTTCCTGACATGGAATTGGCTCTTGGGCATGTTGTCGTCACCGCCAATCTTATTGAACTTGGTGGTGATGCTTGTGTCGATGGTGAAGTTCCTTGTCGCGTTGACATTGAACTGCTCCTTAAGCGCACAGTAAGAGCGTTCCAAGCCCGTAACGGGAGTCCATTCGCCGTCTGGGAAGGCGTACATATGGAAGGGGTTTTGCGCCCTCCATCTATCGATTTCCGCTGTGTCGTTCGAACTGCTCAGGTTTTGTGATATGAAGAGGGTGGACTCGCTGTCCGTGTCAATCATGTAGAGGAAAGGTGTCGCGTCGTCGTAGCTGTGGTAAGGTCCATCTGTGCTTGCGGCGAGTTCGAAGTGCCAGCTCCCAAACCAGTCTTCCTCGAGCTTGGGCGCCCCGATACCGATGTATACGTCCGAAGTGGTGTTGAGCTCGAAGCTGGCGTAGCCTCCATCGAAGAGCACGCCCGTGATGTTGGTGAGACTGTCTTGCGTCGCATCTGGGCCTGGTTGCTTGTTGCGCGGCGATGTAGAAACGTACATGACCAGCTGCGGGTGGTTCTTCCTTGCCTCCTTCGCGTCTCCATTCGGCATAGGTTGGCGGCAGGTATTAGCCGTGAGCCAGACGCGACTACTACCAGCCTGTCGCTTTGCCAGCTCTCCAATCTCATCATCACCAACATCGCCTTCCTTTCCAGGTACTGGCGCATCTCCCAAGCCAGCTTTGTCAGAGGCGTTGTCTGTTCCCCGTGCTTCCAGAGCATCCAAGGGAGCATCAAGCACACTCCGCATGCGCAATTGACCCTTCTCAAACACGAAGTGTAACGTCGTTTCGGGATCGATGTCCTTTTCCGTCTTCTCGTTATTCTTCAGCGGCTCCGGCGCATCTGTCTGTCGCCCAATCAGACTCCGGTCGAGATAGCTGAACTCCGGCTCGTAGCCATCGCTCTCTTCGCGGTCGAGTCCCCCATCTCCAATGTGTGGTGTATCTCCGCTGGTGAAGGCGTGCAGCGCGAGGCTGTCAAGGGCGTCGTGATCGGGCGTCGCGAGAACTTCGGCAGCATACGCGAGAGGTAAGGAAGGCGTCCATAGCGCGATACAGACACTGGTAGCGACAAGGTGTGCGAGCAGTCGCGACTGCAGAGGTGAAAGCCTGGGGCGTTGCATTGCCCTCTCCGCTGCCTTATCGATAGAACCGGGGCCGCATGGGTGGGTGGTGGGCGCAGAGGGTGCGCTGGGAGGGGAACGAGCGTCGGGTGGTCGCACGTGTAAAGAGAGCGATGCGCGCAAAGGATGATGTAGGTCGGGAGGTCTAAGGGCAAAGAAGGTTTGGCGGGGCGTGGTAGTACTCGCGCAACGGCTGATCCTTTGCTCGCCTGCGCCCTGCCAAGACATTTGGCTTCCCGAGTCCAGCCCCCACGCGGGCGCCATCACCGTTACACCACCCATCACCATGTCGGACACTTAGTCATTCATTCGATACATGCACAATGGTCATGTACACTTTGATTGATATATACAGTTCTCACGAATCTAGGACGAGCGAGATGCGATCGCGGCTATATACAGTGCATCTTCTTGGCAACCTCCATCCCGACAAGGGCTTGATTAAAGGAACTACGTGTCCTACTCGTCGAACGTCTATGCAAGAGCGGGGCTAGCGTTCTGGAGCAACATCGCGAAGTAGTCCTGGAACCAAGTACCAGCCTCAGGCGCAGGCTTGAACGCCGAGTCCTTGCCGCAGAAGCCATCGTAGCGGGCAGCAGATTGATCGGAAGTACCGTCAGACTGTATCCTCGTTAGCATTCTCCTTCTCAGTCGTTCACAAATACGTTACATACCTCGCCACCGGGCTTGACCCAGACAAAAGCATCGACAAGCGCGTTGTCGGTGTTGGTAGTAGGACGGATACCGAAGCCAGCACCCTTGACGTTGCACCAATCTCCCCAAGCCTGTTGGCCAGT